GTGTGTTCTTTAAAACCATCGAACTATTTCCCGAAAAATAGCGAGTCCAGTATGGAGAAAAAAAACGCATTTAGTTCATGGTGCTTGTGACTAATTCGAGTGAGAATGTAACACGATTGTTAGAGTAATAAAACGGATGAAAAAGAGCCGAGGTTGGCAGGGGATGATGATTGGTGACTACGCATGCAATTTTTTATAACAGCAACACCGAGGGTTCACCAGCAACGACGTGGTACCGCTATGTGAAAAAAGAAAACAGGTCTACAGTTCACTATCCCCATCGTACTTACCCTAAACTAGAACTGTTTGTCAGCTCCGCCCCGGGAATTGGTATAATGAATGCAAATGAGCTCAGCAGCTACCATCACGAATTTTACGGAAATTTTCTGTGCAAAATGTTGCAAGACTGTCCATCGCCTTCAATAAATTGCCACCCACTGAGAGGATAGTTGAAAAGTAGAGAAATACAACATTCTACTCTCATTTTGACAGGGCGGATCAGACAAGAAAGAATAGGGCTCAAATAGATGTGCTTGAAATAATACAAGAGGTAGCATTTTGGTCACAGGTGTTTCAGTCCCAAAGTTACTTAGGACCGAAACATGTTTTAGTGAGGAAACGATTGAAACGAACCGGTATAGGATTGAACCTACTCACACCTTTGAGTGCAACACGAGGAGCAACACGAGGCACGTACTGACTTCCAATGTTGTTTGAAAACAAACTTTGGGTTATATACGGAATAGATAGTGATTAGAACCTTTTAGAAGTTAAACCTAGGGTACACTGCTGAGGCTACAACTGATCTTTATTATTATTGTTCGATCGCGTTGATTAGGTATTGAACTGAACCATTTGCAAGAAGTTTAAAGAAATAGAATTTTACTACTGCCCATTTGTCAGTAGTCAAAAGCACATAGAAAAATCAACAACAGATTTCGCGCTATAGTTCTCGCTTGTTCCGCGTTTGCTACGTTTCATGTGGAAACATAAGTCAGTTAATTTAGCTTGTATTAGCCCATTCGATTGTTCAGAGGCACCAGGCACTCTTGATGGTCTTCGGTATGGGTTTCACTCCTTGGGAGATCGTTAATTCTCCACTGTTTGTATGAATTCAAATGCGATGGAAATGTTTGTGATAACCAAGTCAGTTAATTTGTGATGAGTGTATCACAAGTTTGTCATTCTCAAGACTAAATGAAATTAGGGGAAAATCGAAATTAGAAATGCACGAAGTTAATAGTTATTATAACATGAAAGGTCAAAAAAGTATATGAGAAAAGCAAAGCTTTGAATTCGCCAGCTTTTTCCCATTCTTTTACTGATGATGAGACTGTGATTTTTTTAAATATAAGGGAAGTTTCAATCTGTCTGAAATTAAGAAATCCCGGAAAATATAAAGAAACATTTTATCATATTGACTGACTGGTTTTTGAGGGTGCTTTTCGTCATATGCTTGGATGATATGTTGAGAAAAATGAATCGCCAACATCGTTAGATCGGAGATTTCAAGACGGTAGAATTTAACTGAAAGTCAAATCACTAAAAAAAGCTAATGACCACAAGTCTCATCTGGCGTTCTTAAACGGAACACTGGATAATGTTACTGTGTTAACGAATAAAAGGAGAGAATTATGAGGAGAGCATAGCGCAGTGCGTTTTCACATCAGGCTGTAGCAACTAGTGGAACTGTTGACAGTTGATACTCATCATCAAGTGATTGCGCTTTTTTCTGTAAATCGCGCGAGAATTAATCGATCTAGGGTTTTCTCAACCTGTAAACACTTTGTATTTGGAGTATCATGTTTGGGTTAGCCCATTCGATAGTTCAGAAGCATCAGGCACTCTTGATCTTAGACGTGAGTTGTGCTCCTTGAGGGATCGTTAAGTTCCCACTAGTTGAATACATTTAAACGAGATGGATAAAGTTGTGATGACCGACAACGAGTAATTATTAGCTGTGCCTACCTTTTGTGTTCCTTTGTGTGCCTCTGAGCGTTCTAATAGACTAATCCAAACATGATAATCTAAATTAATTGAACCATTACGTGAAAGGCAATGACCATCGACCGTGGAGTGTTGGGTTTAAAGTTCTAACCCAGATTTTCACGGTCTGAGTCGTGGCAAGGACACTAAAAGTACGCAGGACGAAACAGTTATCCAGTGCTCTTCGTCGGTCATCACAAATATTTCTATCGCTTTTAAACACTTTGTTTTTGCTTTGTAAACCTGTAAGACAGAATCAAAATCAACAGCGCTCGCAATGCAAGTGAATTTGTTGATTTTTGACTAACATTTACACCTGATAAGGAGTGATAACGAGAATTCGATTCGGTCCACCATGTATCCAACCAACCAGCTACGGAGTCTTTTGGACCCCAGCCTGGCAGACAGAAAGCAACTACTCAACTTAATCATCAAGTGCATTTCTTCATGCTTCGTCTTCACGTCATCTGTTGACTTCCAGGCGATTCCCTCTTTACTGAAGCTGCAACGGCAAACACGGCGCGGTGCGTAAGGTGACAGCTATGAGTGCAAAATAGGTGTCCTAAGTAGCGACACCTACTGGTTTGAATTCGGTTTAATAATGCGTTTTCCTTTGATTCCTTCTCAAACACACGATGGATAGTCTCAGGGTTGCTTGCTGGCTCACTCTATTCTATCCGGGTTAAACTATGTGAATATCAACAGTAGAACAACTTCAGATGATGAATGTCCTCAAAGAGCAAAATTAGGGTTCCACAACCGTAAGCAAACCGAGCAGCACGGTAGCGCAGTACATGTGACTTCTGAATTTCAAGGAACTATCGAGTCGTCGATAGGAGGGGGGTTCAATCCTCCGCACGTCACTCAACCCATGCTATCATCATTTATCACACATCTAGGTAGAAGCTATCCAGTATGAGAGATTCTTCAGTTCAGTTCAGTTCAGTTCAATTCAGTTCAGTTCAGTTTGTGCAACCATTAATCATACACTTTCGTGCGCCGGTTTTGGCTGCTGTCTTTTGGCAGCCCATTATGATGAACAGTAGGAGGAAGACAGGAAAGGTGAAAGTAGAGTGGAATAGAAAATTTCAGTGGACCAATGTTGCAAAGAAAACTAAGAATAAGCACCAGCGCCACTGTTTACGGCACTCAGCCATATCACTCAATGTCTCTAACCATCGGTTACAATTATCCCGAGGTCCCCAGATAGGGACCCCAACGGGACCTACGTGACCCAGTCACATGGTTACAATTTTATATCCTCGTTCCAAGTCTTAGCTTGACCACTCTTGGCTTTATTTCACCAACTACCTACCTCGGCAAACATCGCTCGCCGGAGCAACCTATCTAGTGATATGCGTAACACATGCCCCAACTAACGTAATCTATGAAGGTCGACCACTTCCTCCAGTGGGCAACTATGGTTACCTAAAACTTTGCACCTAACCTCACCATTGCTCGTCCGGTTGCTCTACCAGATTCGTGCAATGCTGTGTAGACAGTCTATCTTTATCCTGCTTCCTAAGTGCCATGTTTCTGCACCGTATAGTAGAACTGGACGAACTGACGATCAAACACCAAAGAGGGGATATACGACATCCTGCAGTATCACCTTGCACTTTGAAGGTGTGAAGAGTAACGTGACTTTTTAGACTGTCAAGTACTTCCTGCACATCCTCCATACATTTAAAAATACAGGCGACGTCCGCAGGGTACTCTGGATCATAAAACATTTCGTAGCTACCCTCACGCACTGCCGAAATTTCGGAGATCACCTAGTTTTTTCTCTCCAGTATCTCATCTAAAAACGAAATTGAACAGAAAAGAGAAAAACAGAGCACCGTTGACGAAAGTCAACACGAATTTCGAATGATCAACTTAGTTCACCGTACGTTGTACACCTTTCGCTACCAGCAAGTATGCCAGCAGAGTAATATCAGTAGATGAGAATAAATTTTGGGAATTCCTTTCTGGAGAAACGAAACTATTAGGGTTTTCGGGCTAAACGGGTCGAAGATACCTTGTAGGTGAAGGAACCCTGAGTTTGTTGGTCGACGATATGTGTGACATATCTCGAGAATTTGAGGCATTGCAAAAATCTGATCGATACAACCACGACCTGGTCGGAATCCTGTTCGTCAATATTCATTCGGTACTTTGTTCGTGGTGGTGATCGGTGATGATCGGAGCTGAACATATCCCACGGGATTTGCGTAGGTATTGAATGTTCCGTAAGTATAGATCTGAACGATCAAACGACCGAATGCTGTGAAGTAAACAGAAGTTAAGATTATGAAAATAGTAGTGTAAAAGTCCCCGGATCGAATCAGTTCACCGCTGCCCATCTTACCCGTTTCAGTATTTTCCTAGCTAGCATTTTTATGGCCGCGGCCTCCTTCCTGTATATTCAGTTAAATTAGAAAGGAAGTTAAAAATACATTTATTAATTTATTTTTACCGAGTAGACATGAGAATACTATCTACCTATAGAATAATGATGAGAAGTCCATCAGGCCCGGTTGAATCAGACCTCGTAATTCTAGTTCTTTAGGGGATTCATGTGCTATTCGAGCGGCCAAAATGTCCACATCACTGAAATACCCTTCCCAATCTGCTGCTGCTGCTGCTGCTGCTGCTGCTTATTGTGGGTTCCCTATCTAGTAATGTCTACCCGTAAAGACTTCGGTTTTTGACCCGTCACTCACCACCAGATATTTCCTGAGGTATTTCACTAGTTGAGTTTGCAGAAATAAAAACATCAGTTGCTTTGCTAATTCTGAAAGGCTGGGATTTCTTGGTTTTGGTCTATCAGGATTTCTGATTGTTGAGATACCCACTGTTTTGTACGGACCTCGGAGTCAGATCCAAAAGCAACTGACTGCCGAATGCTTTGAATGCCTAATCTCTACTTTGCCACGTTACGGTGCTTATAACTCCTGCCCATGATTCTCTTCATACGGGATTCAAATAAGTGGGTCAAGCAGATAATGAATGATTAGCTCTGGCCGCGGCTTTTACCGATGATTGATGAGTCGACGCGTGGAGCGCAGCATAACTAGTACAATCGTCAGATTCAACAGAGCTGTTTCAATAGGATCTACAATTTTGAACGGAACCACTCCAACGGCAGGTATCAGTAAGGCCCAAGCTTTACTGTTTTGTACGATTCCTACTCTATGCTGACCCAATGAGCGGGGCTTCATCAACGGAAGACGGGTCCGATGCACTCAAGTGGCTTTAAGCCTAGGATCCTGAATTGGTGTCTCCCATGCACAACAGATATCAATTTCCAACGAGTTCAGTGTACACGCAATATACGATTTAAGCGATAATGTACCACTCGGAACGCCATCTTGCAACAGCCTTTTGTGAGCGACAAAGTGTGGTCCGGGCGGATGTTACAGAGCGAAAAGTGGGGCAAGGAATTTGGATGGGAGTGGGAACTTGACAACAAAGATGAGGATCTTTGGAGATTAGTCCAATTCTTTCTACCCACTTCTTTTTCAGTGCAGCGGAAAGCTTGTTCCTGATTATTCTGCTTAATGACCGATGTAGTATGGAATTCTTTTGTGTTCATCGGAGCTTTATTGATGGATACCTCTAGGAAGTTCAACCACTGAACAGGAGCACAATTAAGCTTCTCCAACCAAACCGTGATTTCTGACAAGTACCTGAAAGTGAGACAACGAACAAGGCAAAGTGGAAGTCTATCTATTTGGATAGATGGTAACTGAGATACCAACTCTAATTGAACTCCCAACCTGTAGGAGGCTAGATTTTGTTCAACCTCTATCCTTCGACTCTCCAGGCGTTATCTTTGGTTTAGAATACCATCCTGTATAGCTCTTTGTGTCAAAGAGGTGTACTAGCCATCACCTCAAATCGAGGTGGTGTCTTTTCGTAATGGTCCAGTATGAAATGCTCCTGAGAGCCAACTTGGATAACCCTGAAATCCAAGTTCAAATCCCAGTGGATTTGGTAGATATGTGTCGGTAAATATTCCTAAAAAGCTGTATCATACACTTCAAGCATTCCAGTACTGACTCCACATAACGAATATTTTTCATGGGGAAAATGTGATATTTTCTTGTGTCATGAAACAGCCTAAGGTCACATTTGTTTAAGATCGAGAAACCCAAACTTTCACAATTCAGACGTAATAATCATCTGAGAAAAGTAATTCACAATGAATTTGACCCTGTTTCGTCGGCGCAGAAAAGGAAAGTACTACGTCGGGTAGATATAATCAACACTTACCAAGTTGTCGAAACATAGCTGCCTGTGAAGATCGGAATGGGATGACCGGCATCGGTGCAAATCGGCGTTGATTAATCATTTGATTGAACTTTTCCACGGCTGAAATACAGGGGTAATAGCATCCATGGCATATATATAAGTGCAATTACATGTATCTCTCGATCGTCACTGTTTGAAATCAACAAATCATCTTTTGATCATAAGCCAGAGCATCAACTACAAAAAACGAATTATGCAGTTAGAAAAAGCTGCTCAAATATGGCTGCCATTTTTCTTTCTTCATTACACACCTTAGTGTGTGATGACAGGGTAAGCCCCATAGTCATGTACACCTGCTGTTCAATCGTGGAAACCGCTGACCAAATCCCCGGGGACTTGGAGTGGTAAACCACATAAGGCCCCGCGCTAGGTCAGGCGTGGTACTGAACAAGAAGATAGCATAACTGTCTACCACCACAGTTGGATGGGAGTGAAGGGGCTTGAACCTCAATCCATAGGGTGCAAATCATGTCAGGGACAGCGACTAAACCACTACTCCATCACCTTTTATCACGACAAGTGCATCGTTCATTTTTGCAACTATCCCGAATTTTTCCGAAATCACACTGGGATCAGGGAAAACCGTTTTGTTAGTGAAAATCACTTTGGACCGAGTTTGTGAGAGGTTTTTCATCACCGTTTGGAATTATTTTAAATTCACGACTGTCATTTTCCCTGACTGCCAGGTTTTGTACTAGTCAGGGAATATTCTAGGAAAATGACCCATAGTTATCGAGATGTCGTTTGTTGCACAAATATCATAAGGACATGCGTCTACTCAGTGCAAATTGGCATAGAATACGTACAATTATATGTGATTCAACCGAGCTCATCGAGAAACACACCTGAATCTTTCTGATTCATCAGATGTCAGGAATGAGTTATTGTACCCCAATGTTTCTTATGTTTTTGACATTTATCAAATGGAACAATAACTGCACACCTGACCATTGGTTGGGGTGTACTAATGGGTTATTGGAGGTAAACATCTCGAGGACATAACCAACCGAGTGGACACAGAGACAGTTTGTGTCCTATCATTACCATCCACTTAAAAATAATGGAATGACGTAACATCTTTCAAAAATACTCGTTCATTTACTCTCCCACTCAGTCACTCGTAACAATGAGCTGGTTGGCTCTGTGCCGATACATCTCTTTCATGGAAGATGGTTAGTTGAAAACATACTATTGGTGAGCTTTACAAGGAACGATCATCAAATGTACGTATTTTCAACCGGATAAACTCAGGATTGTGCACAAAATTGGAGTCTGAGGCACGGTGGGCTCTGGCCGTTTGAGAGTCGCTTGGAGAGAGAGAGACATAGAGATGGCGAAAATCGTGAGGGCATCTAAATTTATTCTGCCGTGTCTGAAAAATGTGTTATCCGTGCTTCCAGATTTCCTCCCTTCAACTTTTCTGCATTTAAAAAGCACAATTTTTTCACACCGCTGAGTTCCAGTTTCACGCTGATTCGTCAAAGCAAAGTTTGGCATTTTCTACCAATAGTTAAATACTATAATCGTCAGCCACGCTTATTTACTTGCGACTGACGAATGGATCACAAACCAGAGTAATTAATGGGAAACAGTTTCTGTTTTCTGAGCAGCTCCGTGCTCAGTCTCGCTTTGCCGTTTTGAAAAAATACTCGACGGATCTTGACCATGATACAGTTAGTTTTCAATTTGCTATCCGACTAAATTTGGGTGCGACCGATAGGGAGTAGCATGCGATTCTAGTGAAAGAAAAGCGTCTGCTTAAAACCGGTTGCAAACGTTATGATCGTGATCAGTGAGTAAATAAATATTCTAATTCGAAAAAATTATTGTGACCAAAATTTTTCATTCACTTTCTGACTGGAGGTAACGGAGTTTGTGGCTCGTAACACAACAAAAATCGAATCCAAACATGCTATCCAAGGATGTTACGACCCAATTGGGTTGGTCTCACTTCGCTTACATTACGATCGCATTTCAAACTTGTACGGTTTCAAACTACAATTTAGGCTTGACACAGTCTTTCTCTCCCTGCATGAATATAAATGAAATTTTCAAGTTCGCTTCTACTAGGTTGTAGTTTTGAAGTCTTCTGGATAATGGCATTGATGTACAAGTTCACAAGAAATATTCGTTTACACGAAAATTTATCACCCAGATCAAACATATTTTACTTACAATATGAAAATTGTGCAAACTATGCGATGTCAGTCTGACAAAAGTACATGAACACATTCGCGTTTGCGTTCTTTACTATAAAAATACCCTGGTGAACTGTGAATATGTATTACGAATGCTGTTGGGATACACGTACGTGATTGCTCGTCGGTACCCAATGCATCCGGATCATCTGTACTCTGCGTTCCCATCCGTGTGTCAGACGAACGCCGTTTAGTTAATCGCGGACCCTTGGAACTCTCTCCTTCTCGTATGTTTCCACTCGAAGTGGGCTTTACCATGCCACCGGCCGTGATCAGTTGACTTTTACTGACTGTTTGTCCACTCTTTCCGGACTGAACATCGGCAGTGCTCACTGCGTTGGTATCTGTTCCACTGTCAGTTCCTTTTGCATTCTGCACTTTGACCGACGAACGTTCTGTGCTAGTTTGTGGTTTTTCATCAGTCTCATCATCTTCTCCATTCTCATTACTGTCCTCACCCTCGGTGACTTCGGCCTCAAATCGGCTACTCGGGATTTCCGATGGTTTCTCAGCGGCGAACGTGACGTCCTGTCTACGTGAAGCTTCCGGTTTCTTCGAGGGTGGTTTGGTCTGGGCCAATCGTTTGGCTGCCTCGCTCAACACCTTGGTTGTCTCTGGATCTTTGTAGTCCCTCGGGCCTTGACCTCCGAGAGATAAACCAACCTTGCGTGCTCGATTCGTATCGTTCGCGGTTGATTTGCTCGGATCCGGCTCGTTAGCTGACATCTTTTCCGTCTGTGTTGCTTTTTTGATCGGAGATGACGAGGGTGCTGTTGTTGTTGTGGTGGTGGTGGTGGTGGTACGATCATTTTCGGGTTTAGTGACCGGATCTTTCTGTTCAGGTTTCGGTTCCATTCTAGATTTTGGTGTTGAAACTCTACGTTTTATTTCACCATCTTGTGAACTGGATTTGCTGCTCCGCCTTCCTTTTGTTCCATTCTGGTCTTTCGGTCGTTCTGCCGCTGCAGCTGCCGTCTTCGAAGGTGAGGCTTTGGGCGTAGATAAATCTTTGCCTTTCGGTGTGGGACATTCGGCCACACTGTCATCCTCTTCGGACAGATCATCTAGTGAGACGGATAATTCGGATCCCTCGGAATCGCATGGTGTGTCATCGTTCCGTTGAAAATCGGCTTTCAGTACCTCAGTGAAATCAACCCTATCACCGGTGTTCGGATCGGTGTACTGAAACTCTTCCTCTCGTCCGGACACGAAAAATGTTTGCATGGATCCCTTACCCTGATCACCGATGACCAAATTTGGATTCGGGGTGAAGGTGGAGAGAAAATGAAACACAGATATGCCAAAAGAACTTTTGTATCATCGATGCATCACCATGAGTTGCCTCGTGGAGAAAAATAACTATCACAACGAGGATAGACAATCTGAACTGTAGGGATAATACGGTGCGAGGAGAGTGAGGCAGGTCTACTTACAAATTCGAAGTGAATTAAAACAAAGAAATCAAAATGAATCGTATTCTCGACCGATGCGATTACCAACGGAGCAAAATCCCGGAATGTGAGTTTGAGAGTGTAACATGTTTCAGGGCGGTTGAACCCAGGCAGTTGGTGTCCACCAAATTGTCTATAGTTCCGGACTAATGCTGTCCTACAGTGTTCGGTTCTCAAAATCATGGATTTCCACTGATTTCAACAAAAACCACGACACAAACACACAGACCAGGTGTTTGATTCGCGGGAATCTGTTAAATCAGCATAGGACTCAACTGAGGTATAACCCTCGGAACTGACGATTAGGTCTACATTAAATAAGTAATTCATAATAAATGCAGAAATATAACTAGCATAAATAATGGAACAGCAAAAGCAGCAATCGGGAAGGATAGTTTGGAACAAATTCGTTGATAGTAAAGTCCCCTGGATAAAACAAATCTTGATTAAAAACCGGTTACTGAGTGCAGGTTTCTGTTTCTGTTTGCACATGTGTACAAACCAGAAACAGAAGTAAATTCAATCGATAAACAAAAGGGTACTCATTCACTCATTTAGTAAATTGGCTTTCAGCCGTCATACTTACGATCTACTAGTTTTTGACAGCGTTTCCAAGTAGCGGTTTTTTTAATTTCTTTTTATTGAGATAGAACAAAGCAGAATCATCCAATTCCACCACTTACGAATCGAATAGATATGAATCTGTTTTGTACCTTTGAGGTCCCAGGGTTCCTAGCTATTCCCATCACTGTAGGCATACGCATCTTATTGAGTTTAAAAAGAAATTTCCAACTGATCTACTTTTCTCGCTGTATATTGGTCAACATATCCTCCACATTGAATCATCGTCCTGGAGGTCACCCAGATTTCCCCACCTAAAGTTCCCTGAAAAGACTCAGAGTTTGCATGGTCCCTTGCCTGAATTTTTGTTGCAAAATCATCTATTGCATAAAATGAGGAGAGAAAAGATTTTCCATGAGCACTGAATAAAATGCCCCCCTCCCGACTGCTAGAGGCCGGTCACGATCATACCAATCCCCAAAGCATCCAAATCTTCTATCCTCTCTAAACGTTTCCGCCCCATAGCATATACATATTCAGCTCTTAAATTGACTGAACACGCCATGCTCAAACGCCTTCAGTAGTCTATAAACATTCACATTGATCCATCATACTTTGCTTACAAGCCAAATAGATCCACCCTGGACGCAGTCTCCACCCTCATTAATTTTATCACTAAGTCTTTGAACCGCTCTGTTAAATCTCTTCGGTGTTTTTTTCTGGACTACTCTTATGCATTTGATTTCATTCCTCTTTCTAAGTTGCTACAGAAACTGGAATCTTTTGAATGCCCCAAGCAGTTGTTAGCTTGGCTATTCAACTGCTTTACTGATAGAGTACAAACCACCAGATTGGGGAAGTCTTCATCTAATCCCTTAGTCAACAACTTCGGGGTCCTTCAAGAAGCTGTACTATCTCCATACTTATTTTCCACTTATATTTTTGAGATCCTTGGAGTTTCTTGTGTACGTATTTTGAACTATGCAGATGACGTCGTGTTGTGCCAACCCATTTCTTCTTACTTTGATTTAAGCTAATTTTGATGAAATTCAGTCATTCTCCTCTTGTGAATAGGCTAACCCAAACATTCACCATCTAAATTGACTGAGCCATTCGCACAAGGTGATAACCGTCGACCGTGTAGTTCAAGGGTAAGGGTTTGAAGTCCCAACTCGAGGAATCGCGATTCGAGTCCTGACAGGGACACTAAAAGTAAGCACTGCTGACGAGTCACAAACAGGACGAAACAGCTGTCCAGTGCTCTTTGTTGGTTATCACAAACATTTCCATCGCATTTGAATGCATTGTCTCGTGGGTAATTGACAATCTTCCAACGAGGGCCTCTGAACAATCGAATGGGCTAATTCAAGCTTGATACTCTAAATTTTCTCGGTTGATTATGTACAGTGTGACGGTTAGTATGTATGCTTTTGTAACTGAAACATGAGCTCCAGTGCTTGCAAAAGTTATAAACAATACACAAAACAAACGTAAAAAAATTGTGGATTTTTTAAAGAACCCCCCAGAATGTGCATATATTCTCACTGTTTCATCCATTTCTATTCCTTTATCCCTTTCATTAGACTACAAGTCTACAAAGCAAATTACGTTCCATTGATCCGTTATTGATCTACTCAGCTCGCGGTTATTCCGAACCATGTGACAGAACAATTATCGTTTCTGGAATTTAACATTGGGGAAAAAACAATTTGGATAGATTTGCATGTAGTGTTCATGACGGAATTTGTGCACGATTTCATGGCTTACTTTGATTTGGAGTTCCCCGCGTAACTCAACCGTGTACGGATAGGGAGACAAGGCTTGGGCAAATTTGTCACTGACGTGAATTCGATCGGGCTGAGAGAAGAAGAAAACGCAGACAAACAAACCAGATAATTCGGGCTTTAGTAGGCTTATGTGTAACATGTATTTCGGTTGTTATTCTGCCCACTTTTTGGGTGGATATTTATTTGTAATGCGCTCAACTTTTGGAAAGGCACACACAACGTTCGGAGCTTTTAAGCTTACAGTACAGTGGAATAATCTGACTACACACGGATGCGTCTGATGTGCAAAACAAGATGTGACAAGGTTTTCATGAAACAATATCTAAAAAGTTGACAGAGAACTTACAGGTCAGTCAAAAGGTAAGCACTGCGAGCGGCATTCCTTTCGTATACTCTCATCGGTCACGTTCATATAACATTGAACGACATAGACAAATGAAACGTAGTTGAGAAATCTGATGATTTCACCTCAGCTGGTGATGAAGCGTTTGCAAACAAATTTCCAAGCTCGGCGTACAATTGAAATGGAATTCAGTTCACTCGAACTACGAGAACCGATTTTTTCGAAACTTTGTCAAATCTATTTCGGTTTAATCGTGTGTGTGTGTGTGTGTGTGCGTATGTCTGTGTACTGCGTATGTGTGTGTGTGATGCACAGGATTGGTTACAACCAGGGAAGACCAAGGATAAAGTTCATACGCTTTTGGACGCACAGTGTGGGTTTGTTGTGTGCGATCGATAACGCCTCGAGTATCCTT